ATTTTGAATAGACAAAGGTCAACAATGGCAGAATGCGAGATTTGACTTTGAAGGATGTGATTTCCATGATCTTCCTCTTTTTATTTTTCTTGCATTACATTTCTAGAAAGGTATGGATGTTAGCTTTTTAGTGCCACTGGAATCACTTCATTTCGATCTCTAGAACTCACGCTCTGCACAAAATATCGACTGAACGTCAAATCTGCTAATTATCTCCAATTTACTCCTTTTTGCATTTTTCATCCAAAAGTGCCTTCAAAACATAAAACAAAGAATATCAAGACATTTTACATATAAAACATGGACAAAACATTAGGTAAATATAGGTGAAACTATCGAATAATATGGTTACATCAGTGAACTCTAAGTTATTATTGTAAACAATCTATAACTAAGTTTGATATCAAAACCAGAGTTATGGTATGAACTTGTGAAGCAACTGAGTTTAATAATGGTGGCGGATCTACGTTATTAATCTTAGGGAGAACATTCAATCAAATCAAACATAGACTGCAGAGAATTATGTTTTCTTGATTAATTAACTTATCTAGTTCTAAAGGCTACCATTAAATTAAATTACTAGTGCAGACACTATAGTTGTTTGATGGTTAGGGTTAGTTATACGGCGGATTCGTTAACTAACCAATATTAAAAAGAAATAAATATTCAGAATATAAATTGATGTTTCGTTTCCATGATTAGTTCTAATTTCTGTAGGTGAATGTGCGCTTGCAATCAAGGTTTGTAATCTTAATAATTTTTTGATTTTATTTAATTTTCTTTAATAGTTTTCTAATTTCTTTTGCTTTAGACTATATAGCGTCTAAACCCCTCAAATTGCATATCATCTAGCATAAAAAGTTGACTTAAACTTTTCTTGTGGGATCGACTTCGTGCTTGCTCTATACTATCTTGTGTGTTGTATTTAAAGTTTGGGAAATTAATTTTGCAATCGCGATATAGCAACAACAAGTGAAGATAGTGCAGACAATATAGAGAATCGATAAAGGCTTGATGATAGAGAATATGCCAAGATAGCATAAAAGTTATCATTAGTTGCAATAAAAGCTTAAACTTTGTTTAAATAGATTGAGACTATAAGTAACATAATGATTGCAATGCTAGCATACTTGCAGAACAAATTTACAAAAATCATGCTTAAAAAAAAACCATTAAAGAAAGCTTACTAATCTAAAATAAGTTTTGGGAGTTAGAGAGTGAAGGTGATCATTATAAAATTTATGCAAACAATTAGGACTCTAGACGATAAATTACCAACCTATAGAGGTAAAGTGAAAGTTAATTAAAATATAGTTTTCATCTTTAGAAGGCAATATGATGGTGAAACGTCAGGAAGTTGAATAACCTCTAATGTTTGCTTCACAATTAAAAACCTTTTTTTAAAAGATAAGTAGGATTGAAAAGCCTATTATAAATTCAGAGACAAGAGGTTTGGAACCCTATAGTTTAGATAACTAGAGCAAGAATAAAAAAGCCCAAGATAGATAGAAAAGCTATGTTGATGATCAAAAGAGAATTTTAAAATTTAATATAGGTGATTAAGTATTCCTAGAGCTCATTCTCTAGAAGAATGTACTTTGATTCAGAAAGAAAAGGAGGTTGACACCAAGATATACGATATATCGGTCTATTTAAAGTTATAGAGAGGATTAGACTAATAGTCTATCAATTAATATTGCCATCCCATCAATCAAAGATGCATGATGTGTTTCATGTATCTCTGCTTTGGAAAGTTAAATTGAATTCATCTCAAATTCTACCACAAGTGCCAATAAAGATTCAAGAAGATCTAACACTACTGATTAGGCTAGTAAAGATTATTGATTAAGGTGAAAAGAAATTGTGAAATAAGGTTAAGCTGCTGGTAAACATAATATGGAGAAGTTGATGCAAAGCTCATGAGCTCTTGATCACATGACCCACACGCAAATAATACAACTCCTAAAACGCCAAGAAATTAGGTTCGGAAGTGTGACACATAAATTACCTTGAACCGAAGTACCAACATTTTATAATCTAAAACCCCCACCCATTAAATAGCAATTTACAAATGAGAAGTATAGGATGTCGTTATGAAGATAGTTGTTATTTGATAAGTCGATCAGTTCATTAAAAAACCACAGTAGGAGAGAAAACTCACCATCACACACTCACAAATAGAGATGCGAGAATATGAATTATTATCAAGAAAAAACATGAAACCAAACTTAGGTTATAAAGGTGTTTTTATATGTGTAATGACTTAAGCTAAACCCTAGAATACCTACGATGTGGATTTGTATAAGGCCCACTTACATTCAATCCCAAACCCTTAATTAAACAAGCCCAAATACTAATAATCAAGCTGAAAACATGGAAATAAAAATTAAAATAAAGTTTTGAAGCATGTTTCCCTAAATAACTAAGAGAATAACATAAAAGAGTCTTATTTCTTAGACCAAATAGTCTCCTTAGTCGAATAATCCTTCCTTCTAGCTCTAGGATCAGTTGTCGACTTTAGGAATTTCAAATAAACAATTCTGATTTAGAAATCTTTGTTGTGCCTTTAGCTTTTCCTTGTAGAGCTTGGTTTTCTTGCTTTACTTGGATAAAAATAATAATTAATCCATCTTTAGTTTTCGACTTTATTAGTTTCCTTCATATAGTAGGGGAATCATTAGATAATCATTCTTTACTTAAGAAACAAATATGTCGTCCCTTAGTTTCCTTAGTGGACTAAAAAACCTTTTCTTTTCAATGCTAAGAATTCACTTTTATTAAGGATCTGATTTGGCTGAATTGTCTAGCATAAAAAGGAGAATAATTGCTAACTTTTAATCCTTATAATATTAGGAAATATTGCTCAAACAAGGTTGTTATAGGGCTAAATACATCATGTTCATGTTGCACATAGATTAGACCTGTTTTTGCATTTGGATTAAATGAATCAAAAGTTGTCCTTTAAGCTCCATTGGCACCATTTGCTCCCGTAAATCCATCTTGGCCTAAACATGCTAAACAAGACCATTAATGTGTCATAACCTGATTTTTACTTTTATTTTTTATTTTTTTAAATCCAAAAACAGTGATAAATAACAAAAAATAAAAAAATAAAATTTTGATGCACTTGCGTTGTTTTTGGTATTTTCAACATCTTAAAAAAAAAAGAATTTAAAATTTCTATTTTTAACATGTTCAATTTTTTAACAAATTCATTTAAAACAAATTGATATCTTTTAAGAAGTCAATGTTGACGTTGCATTTTTTAAAAAAATAAGAAAAATAAAAATTACAAAAAAATTTAAATAATGAGACCAAAAGTACAAAGAAAAAAAAAAGAGACTAAAGTGATTTTGTGTTGCTTGGGCACTAAGCAATTAAGCAATTAAGAGGAAAAAGACAATTTGGTTTTGCTTATAAATGTGTGGTTTTACCACACACAAAATAGAACATATTTAAGGAGAGAATTAGTTAGGGAACAAAAAAAATCACCCACATACCAATACTCTCTCCCATGCTATCGAGCACACATATAACAAAAAAAGATGGATTTCTTTTTCCTATCCTAGCTCACCTGTAGCCCAATCTTCCTTACATGCTTTCTCTCTCTCTCTCTCTCTCTTTCCAAAAGCAACAAAAAACCTGTATCAGCCTTTATAACTAAACTAATGACAACTAACACCATTTCAATATTTTATCCCCATTTTCTCCTTCATTAAAACAAACTTAACGCCCATTACAGATCCAACCCTAACAACCTTCAACATCAGTCTTCCCTTTCTACTTAAATATCTAATAGACCAGCCTCCAACACCATCCCTTCCACCCGAGACCACTAGCTAACCTCACTCTACATTAACAACAGTTGTTCCTTACAAACCAATTTTAGCCTTTCCCTTTTCTCTCTCATCATGAACACAGTATAGTAGTGCCGATCAAGGTTGTTAAAATCATGATTCAACTCGTAAAATTGTATGATTTTATGAGTCAATATAGGCTAAACGTGCTAAATCATTCTTAAAACTTGGAAATAGGTAAAATCGGGTCAAAATAAGGCAAAATTGTTAAAATAAGGTGAAATCACATAAAAACGCGATTTCACACCTGATTTTACGCGTTTAACACAAAATAACAACTATGTGCCACTGTTTCATCTAGCTCCAGGTGTCAAGCACGTACTCGTCTATTGGCTATTACACAGTCACATACAGAACAAAAGCAAACAATTAACACATTCTTTCTTCAATCTTCATCTTTCTTCATCGACTTTCACACAACACAACAAAGAAAAAAAATCAAAATCCCTTAGTCAATAACAGCTTTCTTCATCCTTATTCTTCTTCTCTCAGCAATTCAAGTTCCAATAATCAGCCACTAGTCCACCACCAACAACCCTATTTCTCACCAGCCACCGTGAGATTTAGATTTCAGACAACAACAACGGTAGCTCTCCAGTGATCCAGTCTCTACCAGCCATCGTAAGTTATTCGTTTTATCTTTTTTCACCTTCTGCAAATAGCATCATGATTTAGAGTCTAGAGTAATTTATTTGTAAAATTACAGACATGTCCATGTCCCCTATGTCATGGGTCTTTCACCGAATCCTAGTCACAGTGAATTTGCAAAGAACTGTGAATTTTACAATTTACATAACTTTTTGAATTTTTATTTTTTGATGGGCTAAGTTTCGATAACAAAAAACAAGTCTGTGAATTTGATGGGTTAGGTTTCGAAAACAAGTCTGTGAATTTTTTGATAACAGTGTTTGCTAACTGTTTGTGAATGCTTTAGTTAAGCACGTTTGATTGTTGTTTAGCAGTTTTTTGTTTTGTTAAATTTGTCTGTGAATTTGTTTTGATAACAGTGTTTCGATAACAAAGTCTGTTAAACAAGTCTGTGCATTTGTTTTGATAACAGTGTTTTGAACTTTTAATAACAATTTTTTTATTTATTTTGAATGTTATATAGATGGCAGAAACAAGTTTGTGCATTTGTTTATAGTGTTTTGGTTCACAATAGATAACTAGAGAGGAAAACACTTTGATAGAATGGTTTGATAGAAAACTGGGTTCTGATTTTGAAAATGGTTTACTTGTTTATTTTTCAGAGCTTACAGGACAGAGAGGAAAACACTACAAGCAACAAATAAATCATTTGGAGAAAAATGTAAGTCATGAGTTATAATGTTATATTCTATCATTCAGTGTTTTGAATTCAGTGTTTTGGTTACTGATTTTAATTAGTTTTTGAATTCAGTATCATGGTAATTCTTTTTTGATAGCTAGATGTCTAATTACAAAATTAATTACAATCATAAAATGTTTGGATTGATTATATGGTTGATTTGAGTTGATCATTGAATTGTTAAACTTATGACATCTAGAAAAAATGCTTCTGGTAATAGGCTTGATGTGGGATGGCAGCATGATATAGATGTTGATAACAATTCTAGAAAAGTTCTGTGTAAGTATTGTCAAAAAATTATTAGTGGAGGTATTTTTCGTTTCAAACAGTATTTGACTTGCACTCGTAAGAATATTAAGCCATGTCAGCAAGTACCGGAAAATGTTAAGCAGATGATTTTGGGTATTTTAGTGAAAAATCTAGAAGCAATTGAAAAGAAAAGAAAGGCCCATCAATATAGTGGAAACAATGATGATGATGATGAAATAAAAGATATTAGCTCCAAGGACAAATGAAAGAGAGTAGCTAGTGGGAGTAGAAGTATACAAACAACTCTAAATCAATTGTTAAAAAAAGATATTAGAGAAGAAGCATGTCAATAAATTGCTAGTTTTTTCTACACTAGTGCAATTCCATGTAATTGTGTAAAACACCCTGAGTTTATTAAGGTACTTGAAATGATTGCAAAGCATGGGTCAGGTTTCAAGCCTCCATCCTACTATGAAATTAGAAAGAAGTATTTGAAGCAAGAAGTGGATCAAACAATGAAATTGCTTGAGGAGTACAAGCTAGAATGAAAAAAAAACAGGTTGTTCAATAATGTCTGATGGATGGACAGATAAAAAAAGACGTTATATTTGTAACTTTCTGGTTAATAGTCCTAAAAGGATTTTTTTTTTGTCATCTATGGATACTTCTAATATATCCAAGACTGCAGATAAGGTGTTTGAGATGTTAGATGCCATTATGGATAGGATTGGGGAGGAAAATGTTGTCCAAGTAGTCACCGATAATGTTGCAAATTATAAGGCAGGGGGACAATTATTGATGGAAAAAAGAAAGAGTTTGTTTTGGACACCATATGCTGCCCATTACATTGACTTGATATTAGAAGATTTTGAGAAGAAGTTAAAGGTTCATTAAGTAACTATTGCTAAGGGAACGAGAATCACCTTATATATTTATTTAAGAACCATTCTTATTTCTATGCTAAGACACTTTACGAAAGGAAGGGATTTGATTAGGCCTGTTGCCACTCAGTTTGCTACTGCATATTTGACTCTAGGATGTTTGAATGATCATAAAATGTAGCCGATGACTATGTTTACTTCCAAACAGTGGAGTTCATGTAGGTTTGCAAGAATAGAAGAAGGGAAACGAATTCAAAATTATGTTTTGGACAACATGTTTTGGCATGATGTCACTATATGTATTAAGGCAACGTATCCTCTAATTAAAGTTCTTTGATTAGTTGATTCAGATGAGAAACTAGCTATGAGTTTTATATATAAAGCAATGGATGAAGCAAAAGAGAAGATACAAGTGAATTTTGGTTCTATGAAAAAAAGGTATATATCTTGCTAATTTTTATTTAAATGTTGTCATCTATTAATATGAATGTTTTTCAATTGTGATATTCCATGATTGTAATGATATTTTTATTGTTTTTTTTATATAGTTATATATCTATATGAAATATTGTTGATGCAAGATAGGAACTTCAACTCCATAGACCCTTATATATAGCAACTTATTATTTGAATCCTCATTATCATTATAATTCTAATTTTAAAGTTAATGCCAATATTAAAATTGGATTATATCAATGCTTAGAAAAGATGGTGCCTAATGCAAGTGAAATGTGCAAAATTGACTTACAACTTGAATCATTCAAGGATGTAAAAGGGTTGTTTGGCATTGATGCTGCCAAGACAGAAAGAGATAAAAAAACTTTAGCTCAATGGTGGGATTCTTATAGGGATGAATGTCCAAAATTACAAAGTTTTGCAATCCAAGTTCTAAGTTTGACTTGTACTTCATCTGGATCTGAGCGTGATTAAAGTGCATTTGAAATGGTGAGTTTTTTTTATTTTAAATGTTGAAATATTTGATAAAAATCTTATAAATTTAAATTGTTTATTGAGGTTCATACAAAACAAAGAAATCATTTGCATCAGAAAAAAATGAATGACTTGGTATTTGTAATGTGCAATCTGAAATTGAATGATAACCAAGTCAAAAAGCAAGCTGATGATTTTGGTGTAGAAGATGATCTTTCATTTGATGATGATTGGATAACCGAAGGAGAAAAACATTCAAACTTTGATTTCATTGGTGCTATTGACAGTGCAATACGAAGACAAAATGGTAATGAAGATGAAAGTGATGAAGAAAAAATTCCTAATGATGCTAAAATGGAGAGTCATGGTACTGAAAATGATTTGGAGATTCAAATTGATGATATTGGTATTGGTACTAGTAATAGCACTAATATTCATAATATTGGTGTTGGTACTAGTAGTGATACTAATAATCCTCATGATACTAATGATATTGATGAATGCTTGAGGAAGATGAAGGCAATGAAGCTGATTTTAGTTTACATGACACACCAGCAGATTGTTTGTTTTAAGTTTGTTAATTATTAGCTAATGAAAAGTTATTTAAATTATGTATGAATTTTTATTTGAATCATGTATTTTAAAATGCTTGAACTATGTATTAATTTTTATTTGAAGGCTTGAACTATGTATGATTTTTGTTTGAATTTTTATTTGAAGGCTTGAACTATATATGAATTTTTATTTGAAGCATGTATTTTAAAGTGCTTAAACTATGTATGAATTTTTATTTAAAGCATGAATTTTTTTTAATGTATTTTAAAATTCTTTATGATTTTATGATTTTACGATCCGAGTTTGTTTTGTATTTTTCGTGTCGTGTTAAAATCGTGATTTTAACAACCTTGGTGCTGATTTGACACCTTCATTTTCCTCTTGATTGACCCAGATAAACCCATCATCATTGACTCAATATTGACCCACATATCATTTATCACCTTTACAACCTTGCACCAAAAGCCTCAATCTCCAAACAACTCCAAACAAGCTTTTCCTCGTTCATTTCCTTTCCTTCTCACCATTAACTAAAGAGATGCGATGGGCTGCCATCCTTCCCCATGATCTTCTTCTTCTCCACCAACCTCTTGGCCGAACCATTATCAACAGCCTTACCAAAAAAAATGAAGATTGAGCTTCCCTCTTCTTTAATCAAAACCAATAAACCAACAACAACAACCCATACTATACTTTTTCATCCTCTCCCATACTTCACTTTCTCGTCCTTACAAACTAGTGGCCACTAACATCTTGAAAAATTGCCTTTACCTCCCCTTTAGCCACTATTGCTAGCCATTCTTTAATAATACCTAACATCATTCACTTGTGATAACAGGAACAATCACTTGAAGAAGAAGAAAAGAAAAATAAGTTGAGAGGGAGAAGGAATCAAATATAAAAAAGCAATAAAATTAAAATCAATTGTTTGTTTCTTATCTTTTGTAGGTAATAGTGAATCACTGTCAGTGCAAGAAGAAAGAGAAGAAGAAAAAGTTCTAAATCTAACAATTTCTAGGTTCACTCATGGCAGCACGTGAACCTATGTGCTAACAGTGTTTGTGGCATGTGGCTACACGCATTGCCATTATTCCACCACTTTCAGGAGCTTTCTAGTACTATTCTTGTACCTTTGAAAGACTTCGGACCTGATTCTTTTAGTCCCTGGACCCTTTAAATACCTTAGAAGGTTGATCTATTAACCCAAATCATTTTTGGACAAATTACTATAGAAATGTGAAATTTTGAAACCAAAATGCCTTTTATTTTGTATAATATTTGGACTGTTTGGACACTATTAATTTAGTTCAATATGTGTTTTGCTTTTGAAATAACTTGATAATTTGTGTAGTATTGTGAGTTTTATTTTTTTAATATTGTATTGCTATTTGAACATTAAATGTTTAATCTGGTAATTGTGTTTGAATTTATGTTGATTTGAGTTTAGATTTTTAATTCATGGATTATGTTTAGGTTTAGTGTTTACTTGCTTTGAGTTGAGTTTGATTAGCAAATCATTTGTTTTAAACGGATATTATGTTTAGAGTTTTAAGTTTTGCCTAATATGGCTTTAATAAAATTTTCAAATGCTTAGAAGAAAATTTTGCAATTGATTTTTATTTCCCCACCTTTTTCTACCTTCACATATTTAATATTTGGAGTTGTAACTTCCACGCGAGGTGTGTTTTTAGTGTTAAGTAAATGGGTTGCTTTCTACCAAAAAATCTTTCTTTTAAAAATATAATTTTTATTTAAGTTGCATTCTGCCAAGTCTCTCAAAAATATATTATATTTACATATTCCCTTATATAGAAAAACATTATTAAAAAATAGTTTTTACTTTGCATGTATTTTTTTTATTTAATAACTAGTTTATTAAAGTAATGAGAATTTGACCTATATTTTAAATTCACCAAAAAAAATTAGTTTCTTTCAATCTTTAAGATTACAAACTAATACATAAGACGTATTTCTGATTTTAAATAAAGAAATTTTTTTTTTATTTTTTTATTTGTTCTATATCTTTACTAAAATTATTATTTTCCTTGATATCTTAAATTATGAACTTATATGTAAGATATATTTCCGGTATTAAAGAAAAATATAATTTTTTTTTTCATTTTCATGTTTTGACTTTATAATAGCTAGATTTTAATTTGATAAGATAAGAATCCCCTTATTGAGGAAGATTTTTCTTAAAACTTGGATAAACCAACTGTTAGAAACACATAATAACTTTAGTTTTTTCAGATAAATAAGAATGCAACTTACCCTAGGTAAGGTGTTTTAAAGGTGCTACACCCTCCTTATTCTCAACCTATCCCTTTATCTAGACTCTTATAGACTGATAGGTTTTTTAGTGACCATAATACTAGGTGATGACATTTATTCCTTTGGTTTCATTGATGAATGATAAAAAAATTTTGTTTTTTCCACCATACATTTTCATTCTAATCTCGCTTCAGATGGACGATCGTCACGGCGCCACACAAGTGTAACATAATACTTCCTTAAACTTCTTTGCCCTAGCCCTTATAATGGCTCACTTGGCACCTTTGAAGGGTTAATGGTATGTTTAGTCATGGTGTTGAGCTAATCTTTATCTTCCTCTCTTTTTTTTTAAAAAAGGATTCAACCTTAAGTTATAACCTATACCAAATACAGAAAAATTAGAAATATTACAAAATAGCACTAACACCATACTTACCTAGTGAATCAACTTTATAAGCATTATCATTGATCTTATCAAAGATCTGAAATGACCTATCTCCTATTGGTTTTAACTTGGATTTACCATAGATTGAAAATCTCTCTTTACATATATGGACTCGAACCTAATCTCTGAGATGAAGGATAATTTATTTGTGCCTTTTATTTGCTTTGTTGCATGCACACGATTCTTTTTATTTATTTATTTATTGTTGTAAACTCTTATAAAGTGCTTTCATAATCTGTGCTTTACAATTACTATCCAAATTAACCTTTTCATTAATAGTCAAAGAAATCAAATCTAAGAGAGTTAAAGAGTTAAAGTCATACATAATCTCAAATTATGAAATATCAGTAGTAGAATACACACTACGATGACTACATGCAAACTTTATTAATTAAAAACAATCTTCCTAAGTCTTTAAGTTCTTTTGAATAACAGTATGTAATAGTTATGTTAAGGTCCTATTAATTACCTTAGTTTGTCCATGTATTTGAGGGTGATATATAGTTGAAAACAACAACTTAATATTTAAATTTCCCCAAAACACTTTTGACACGACTAAAATATTGATGTCTTCTCCCAAGTGCAGGAGTGTCGAAGTAATAAATAACCCGGCAAGACCGGGGTCGAACCACAAGGAGGTTAATTGTACAAATTATAAAAAACAATTAAAAAACAACAATAACAACAACAGTAATAACAATAATAATAATAATAGTAATAACAATAATAACAATAACAATAATAATAATAATAATAATAATA